TCGATACAATACGAGCTTGACCGACCAGAGAACTTGGGTGCTGCACTCAACAACACCTTGGCCGACATATCTAGTTCAGTCGACATCAGGAGCTCCGCAGCCGATGTTTTGGCCTTATCATTAGTCATGTCCGTGGCTCGTTGCGCCAATATGCGCGTTCCTTTGAGACTAGGCCGCAAGGATGCGACGGAAGCTGGTATCAAAGGCGTACCGGAAGCCCACACGGATCTCGACACCACCAGGAAGAGATTTGAGACTGCCAGCCTGAGCGAGACCGACATGATCACTTTGATTGCTTGTGGTCACAGCATTGGTGGTGTTCACTCTGTTGATCACCCCGAGATTGTTTCTGGTCCAGTCAGCGCAGAGAACAAAGCGAGTTTTGATACCACCCTGGGCGTGCTGGATAACAACGTGGTATTGGAGTACCTTGACAACTCGACAGCCAATCCATTGGTCGTCAATCCCAACAACACGTTAAACTCCGACAAGCGAATCTTTGCTGCTGACGACAACAAAACCATGCGCAAGCTTGCCGACAAGGCTTACTTCAAGTCCCAGTGTGAGGCTGCATTCGAGAAAATGCTTAGTCTCGTACCAGGCGATGTCACACTGACGGAGCCCTTGGAGCCAGCCGACATCCGACCTTACATCTCATCCTACTCACTCAAGGACGGCTCAGTCCAGTTTTCTGGACGCATCCGTGTTCGCATCACGCCAGTAACTGGTCGTGACTCAGACAGCCTTACCGCTTCTATCATTCCGAAATCGCGTGGCAATACCACAGTCGCCGAGATCGCTGCTCGCCGTGCCACCTTCCAAGGAGGAACCTCTTTTGGATACCTAGACGAGAACTTCCAATGGTTCGAATTCGACCAGACGCTCAATGCTAGCGAGGCATTCGACTCGTTTACCATTCGCGTCAATGATGACACCTACGACAATGGGGGCACAGGGAGATACCCTGTGAATGCCGATATTCTCTACCAAGATGCGCAGTCCTGCGTCGCTTGGGATGCAACCAAGCAGGAAGGCACTTTGACCATCACTGCTGCTGTATCCAAGGCACTTCTGAAGGGTGGTGCGACTCCGCAGATCAATGTTGTGAAGAAGAACAAGATCCAAGGCAACTTCATTCCTCGCTTGCAGCCAGAGACCATCCCTATGACCCGCGCAAGCAAAGAGACAGCAGAGTACGTCTACTTCACTGCCTCAACAATCTTGTCGGCTGATGGGCTCGCCCCTACGGTTGACATTGAAGTTGGTGACTCCAAGGTGGAGTACATCACGACAACTGGTCTTACTCAGCAAGAGTGCGCTTCGTTATAGATACCCAATATTTAATTTATAGATTTCCTTCATCCAAATTCATAAGCATTTTGTTCAGAATACTGCTACGCTAGCCCCCTTCAAAGACCACTTTCATCACGCTCATCATGCATGCACTGCTTGCCAAAACCAGGAGAAGGCTCTGCCTTAGTTTAGCCTGAATCTAAAGTGTAATGTTCACTTTGCAAGGCTCGAAACCACTAGAAACTATATCACGCATCGAAACCATACTACCCAGGCTCCGTGCATCTTATCTCACCCTTCATTCAAGTGGTAAGTTGGTATTCAGAACATTGCGCGGCAGTCTTAACGTCTGATGTATGACTGGTCGAGTATACACTTTTGTACGCCTTTATCTTCGGCGCTGTTGACGTCAAGACAACTCAGGAAGCATTGCCTTCTTAGTGTTGCCAGCGCGGAGATTTAGTGAAAGAAATTTCTCTATGAAAGCAAAACATCCATGGTACATGTCTTCTCTCAAGTAGCATACATATCCTGGCTGCTAGAGAGGTTTAGCGCGCGATCACGGTGCTCAGTGGTATGCAATATAACTACACACGTCCCGCGCTAGTCGGTCTTCCAGGTGCATAAAACTCTTGAATGTCTATAAGACCAATCCAAGCTCTAAGCCATTCCTCGTCATCTAATGATACATCGTCCACATCAACCACACCCAAAACGCCGGACTATGCAATACAATCCTACAACTTCGATGAAAGCTTTCCGCTCTTCTGCGCAGTATAGGTGGCGATGAGATCCATCAATGTCGGACTCAGTACATCGTATGTCTGGAGTCCCTCCTTCCTGAACTTCTCTCTTACGGCATCAATTTCCTTGGGGTTGAAACCTTGCTCGATGATGCTGCTGACGAATGCCGCGAATTGGGGCTCCTGCCATCCCTTCTTATCGCTAAGTTCGGTGTGCACAAAGTCCAGGCCCTTGAATGGATGGTCGACCACGATGCGACCAAAGAGGTGAACTCCGCACTCCTTGCAGGTATTGCGTTGGATGGCCGCCGACTCGTCGATTATGTGCAGTTTGTTACCGTTGGCGGTTACGGAGAGGGCATCTACGGGAACGACACCAACGACTGAGAAGAGAGCGCCCTTAGGCTTCCAGCATTTTGAGCAGCCGCAAGCGTGGTTGTGCGCGACGTTGCTGGAAAGGGTGACTTCGACCTTCTTGGAGGGGCAATGGCAGTAAAGCTTGCCGCCGGGAAAGTTGGGGTCGCCCTTCTTGATACCGTTATCGATGGCGGGATGGATTGATGGCATGATGGGTAGAGATTTGAACTTGGTTTGTTTGTTGAAAGAGATGGTTGTGTAAGAGGGTTTGGATGGTTGCAAGCTCGCAGTTACTCAGGTACCTGGCCACACTATATACGGGTTTCTGTTCCACATCGAGACTATTACCCCCTCACCGGACTGCGCAACCGATCAAGAAAGGACCGCAGCAAATATGGTGCGATCGCATGCAAACTGATGGTATTGTGGACATGATGTGCGGAACCGCATAGTGTTACCGCTTTAGGTCACTCGGCCCTTCCCCGCCTCGCGTTAGAGATTACCACAATCGAGGAGCTTCGGCGTGCCGATATAGACGCTGCGGTGCCGCGGACTTTCGCCAATGCAAAGAGTATACATTGTCGCAGGAAGTGGAGGTTGCGGAAAAGGACCGCAAAATGTACAGATGCAATTTTGTTGGTGATGAATCTTAAAGTTCGTGGCGGACCCGACGACTGGGGCGTCAGATTCGCTCCCGGAAAACCCTGGATCCTGCCGTCTCCTCGTTTTTCCACCCACCCAGCAACTACAGCGAGCGCCTCCCGCAAGTCGTCCGCAAAACACATCCATCGCAGTAGTCAAAATCGTATCATACGATGACATCCAAACGAGTGCATACGTTCTCGAGCTCTAGACGCGCAAGACGAACAACGTAGCAACTCAGCAACGTCGCATAATCTAAGACCACTTTTTCAATCCTCATGAACCTCATCGGGTCGATTCTAGGGTCAATCAAACCATCTTCAATATAGATCCAGTTACCCCATGCTGTTTCAACGAAGATTCGCTTTTGCATCAGCTGCAGCAGCTCCGATGTTCGCCCTCTGTCGAAACTCTTCAACGTCCACCATGAGTTGGGCGGCTATTATTCTGCTCTGGAACCACAGCTCGGCTTCTTCTACAGCGTAACGTTCAGCTATGAGTTTGTAGCGCTTCTGATGCAGCTGCGATATTTGTACATCCGCGCGATACTTCATGAGCATCTCCTCTGGTGTTTTTAACTCTTCGTTGTACCCGAAACCGGGGAAATCGATGCGTTCTCGGATATCCTCTACCTTTTCCTTGTGCTTGGCGCCAGTCTGCGGATCCGGAATCGCTCTTGATCTCTCACCCACAAAATCGGCCAGACGTGGACGGCGTGTTTCTAGGCGCCTTTCGGGTTGGGAGTCATCTGCGAACCGCACATGCTTGTGGGGCCTTCGCTGATCGTGATCCAGATAATCTGGCTGTTGCCGAATCTCTCCTCTAGATATATACACTCTTCCATCGATTTTCTGGGAGCTGCTGAAGATGCGACAGTCTAGTTCGGGATTCTTTGGTCGCCCTTGGGCTGCGTCGCGGGTCATCCGAGGACGCTTCATTTCGTGGTTATGATCATCGATTGTCGTATCACCAGGGCGCTTCTGTTGTCGTTGCGCCGGGCGAAGAGGCAGGCTGATCTCAGACTGTGAGCTTTTGGAAATCTGATCGACTTTGGATGGACTTCTATGTCTAGTCTCCGTGGCTCTGGATGGCCGAGGGATCTCTTCCTTTGCAGCCGGTAGATACGGTGAGCGACCATGACGTACAAGCGCCATTGGGGTATCAAGCAGTGGGGTAGATACCCGTTGAGAGGTGGACGTATTACGGGACATTGAGAGTAAATGTTGATATTGCAAGCGTGTGGTCAAAGAGTGTGGAATTGTTGGTTTGTCCAAGCGTTGGCTCTGGACTAGTCGTATTGGGCTATCAGGATTTCAAGACAGGCGAAGTGAAGGTGCAGTATCAGAAGAAGAGGACTAGATGTTAGAGAGACGTTTTCCGAGAAAACTCTGACGGATCTAATTCTACCTAGACACTGATAGCCTTCTGACGGAGGTCGTCACTACGTATTTGTGCTGGAGCACATTGCAATAGCGTAAAGACTGCGCGGACGCTGGCTGCGAGTAGCAGCCTCGCATTTACTTGTGAAAGGGATCAAGGTCTGCGCTTTGTATGTTTCGAATTGGGGTCGAAGATAATGTAGTATGATACAGGTAAGTGTATCAGAGTGCTAGGTAAAGTGCTCTCTGTCACTCCAAAGAACGAACTTCCACTCCTAGTATCGATCCTGAAACTTTTGTTTGCTTGACCTGATAGGCTAGCTCTGGTCGCTTGACGTATTCACTGATCACTGTCCCGTAGTTGCAGTATGGGTCACACAATGGGTGAGAGCACCGTTCCATGGTTCCAGGCAGTTCGCACACTCTTACAAAACTCTCGTCTATGCTATTTGCATCACATCCAACATTCCCTCTTTACGCGACAACCTGAGTAAAACGAGTTAGCAAAACTCTTGCCCCCACCGGATCTACCTATATTTCGAACCCTACTAGTCGCACAAACACTTGGAAATTCCCAACACTCACCATGACTGAGCCATCGAACGTACCTATTGAGAGCATCACTTATACACACAAAGACGTCGATTGTGTCCTTCTCGATCGACTACTGGGCCGCATGACACCACTCTCAGCTCTTGCAGGACCAGCGCCGCAGCAACAGGTCCTAGGCTCGCTCGCGATTCTTCCCATCGAACTACTTCTCATGGTCCTCGAGAACCTTGCAGTCACCGATGTGATGCGTTTCCGACGCTGCAACCGATTCGCAATGCACGTCGTTGATACAGAATCGCTTCTTCGCCTTTGCTTGCAATTTGCACCAAACACCGTCATAGGAATGATGGCTCTCAGAATCTCTACGCACGTTACGCCACAGCAGCTATGCAACAAGGTCCTGCAGAGAGATTGCGACCAAATCCGGATCAAGGACGTTTTACCGGGACCAGCAATAAGATACACTGAGTACCGATGCGGACAGTTGGCGCAGCACATATACCTTCCTGCATGCACGCGACTTTGTGTGGAGTGCATACGACATGAATCCCGTGTGACGAACTGCGAGTTGACAATGGGGTACCAAATCTATGAAACCGAAGACTTTACCATGACACCGAGTTTTCGCACTCTCCCTGTCACCTTGACGAACGGCCTGAACAAGTTCAGAGCGGAAGCGCAAGAAACACTGTACACTGTTCGTCTCGAATCAATGAACAATCGAACTCATGATCTCATAAATCTTGAATGGGCTTTGAGGAAGCACGACTACACTCGACCCAGCGTCTCCGTCATCTCAGCTGTTCCGATCACCATTGCGCGACATATTCCCATAGTGGTTGCACCTTTGGTAAACTCGATGTCATTCCAGGTGGAGCAGGGATATTACTGCAGCACTTGCTTACACACCGAAGTTGAAGAGGAAGTCTATACCCGAAAGTCTTTCTCTGATCATCTCCGAGACTGTCGCGTTCGGCCTTTTTCCCCAGTATGGGAATTCCGGTCTAATTTAAAGGTCGATCTAGAAAGTTACGAGTGTGACTGACATAGTCTTAAGGAGGTGTGGGTTGCTTCAGACGAGACGATAGCATAGTCTAAGAACAGTGTTTATAGTCCAGAACCTCCTAGATGTTTGTTCTATATTGTCGCTATTGTTATGTATTGTCTCCATTTGATCTGATCAAACGTACATCATCATGCCGCCAGATCTCCTCTTCGACTTGTATACGTTCGAAGATCCAGGTCTAAGGATGTCGTGGGTACTGATAGACAGTTTACCAATCACCGGATGTTATGCAAGCTTTCATTAGTTCAACTGTCTTCCCAAATGAACGCGCTTGTGCCACAGATATCTTGGCATACAACAAAATGCCGCAAACTCGCAAGGTACACTAGGTTGAGTATGTACACCCATCTTGCGGAGACTTTGAAGCATAGTCAGGAACAGAACTGTTTCAGTGTCATCGAACGCGAGCCAAGTGGTCTGGCGAGCAGATAGTCGCTGGTCCGGTTCGGCCTGGGGGCATTACAGAGCGTCATTTGGAAGCGAGCATAGGGAAAATTGGCGGTTGTTGAGTATGTGCGGATGTAGCGAGGACCTCCAAGTCTGACTAGCAGTGAAGTATTCCCGTCGCAATAGGATTCCTCATGTTCAGGCTTTGCTTACTTATCACTTGGTGTCGTGGTGTCTTCTGGCATAGAGCTGATGCTCACATCTATGAGCGGGAATACTGGGCTGTGAACAATTAGAGACGATAGTACAAGGCCTGAACACTACCTTCTGATCCATGTGTACCCAGGACGTTCTTCAAGCACGTCACCAAAATGAGCACACGCGCTACAGAGCGGCTACTAGTTTGTAACTGTCGTCCTGGGGGCTACTCCTCAACTCTCGCGCACCCATCTCTTCGCGCCTCAAGATCAGACATGAAGTGTACGTCACGCTTCAAGCGCCAGATGCAGACCTGCCTGCTTACCAAGGACATGCCATCTCGGGGTCTCCGAGACATACCACTCCGCATGTTCTGTCGTCGCATCCCTATCTCCACTATCTCCTCTTGTCTCAATATCCAACATTCACAGCCCCATCTTCATACCGTTCACGCATGCTGCGATATTGCCATGGCGATTGCAACCCAGTGAAGCAGGCATGATGATGCGTAACTGAAGCAAACGACATCCTACAATGTGAACCCATGTACGGCAGAAAAGCACGTTGCGATTGGCTGTGAAGATGTTTGATGTCGAAACAGACATGGAGGCGGCGCAGCATGTCGCGCATGAACCCTGGGGGCTATTTTTGAAATGACGGGAGGGTGGAGCGATGGAGGAGCTGGGGGCCGTAAGGCTGGCGCTGGCGTGGCGGTTCCTGAAATTCGGCCCCCAGATAGGTCTTGGGAAGGTAGTCGCATTTGCCGCTTTGTACTTCGAGCGAGCGCGTCGTCCGTCTTACATCTTACAAAGGCATGGCGGCGGCTGCCGCGTCGTATTCTCGATATTGGATTCATCAGCCGCACGATCAGGTGGGATACCACTCCCACCGATGAGCATGCGTTGGATTAGTGGCTTGATAACTTGCATCAGGTACTGGTGGCTCAGCCCTGCGAACTCGGTGCTGCGCCTCAGCCGTCACCACCCACCGAACGATGGCTTCCCGCAAGTATGTCACAAACCACCACGCATCGACCACCGAACACATACCTCATACGCATAGCCATTGCCCAATCACTTGCAATTTTTCTGCCAGTACCTGAGGCCGGCACAGCCCTGTTTTTGTGACCTTATCGCAGCAAAGTATCCATTGCACTTCGGCTACCGACCCATAGCTGGAGAAGATTTTCTTGGGTTGGGCAGGGCCGCTGCGACTCCACAGAACAGGGACCCCAGCAAGCGAGCGCGACACGTTGACATTTGCACCGGACTGCACGAAGATATGCTAAGGAAAACCAAAGTATTGGACTGTGGGGAAGGAAAGGTCGGGTGGTTGGGATGAGGTTGGTTCGGACGGGTGTGCAGACGATGATTTGGCGATGAGTCGATGGACACGTTGACCAGCGAGCAGCCTCGCCAGACGGAAGGGGCACGTCCTGGTAAATGCGGGGAGACGTGAGCTGGCAATACAGCTTGCGCAATGCTTTTGTCTGTTTCAGAAGCCCGGACAGGTCCGACGATGCAGGAGAGTGATTATATGAGAGATTCGAGACCGCGCACGCTGGTGGGTATCTTGCAGGTACTCGATCAGGTTGACCGGTGAGGCTTCAATGCATGCACGCTGCACCTTTTCGGACGTGGACTAGAGAATTAGCTGCATATTGACCGGTGACAATGGAGCTGATGCAAGCTCCACAGGAGAATAAGAATATGCATATCATATGCAACTATCCATCATGGACTTGATTTCGTTGAACTGTCGTTGTTTAGCTGGTGTGGCCAGTTATGATCGAATTCTGCGATCAATAGAGTGGGGTTGGTGGTGCCGTTTGACCGGCAGCTGGCATCACCCACGGTGTTTGATGATTATCAGTCAGGAACCTCCCTGATGATGGTGAGATAGCTGCCGGAACATAGGGGACAGTTGTCAATGCACGATTAAGATGGAGAAGTGTTCTGGAATGCAGATGTCGCTGCTGTATTCTGGCTAGATTCTGATGTGGAGAGGTTGGCGGGGCCTTTCGGGCTGGACAGTGCGAAGGGCAGCAGCTCCTGTCTCCTGATGTTTGCAGTCTTTCTTCTACCTCAATATGATGGCCAACTTGTGTCTTCAATATGTGACGTGTGTTAATGGTAATTCGGTCGTTCTGCGGCGGACGCGCAATAACTTGTATAGGTTTCTCGTTCGATCTTCGTATCGCGGCTTGAAGCGAGACCGTTGCTATTATCGTGAGGCTACTATTGTAGATCACCAAATTATGGTAATATCACCGTGACAGTATTTTTGGCAGTGGCAACAACATCTGTTGCGAGCTTGTTGTGGTGAGGGTTGTGAGAGCGGCGAAGATTGAACACTGCCTGCCAGTGCGCAACACACCTGCCCGTTCAGCGCCCGTACCCCGCAACACCACCAAACCACCATCACCACTGTCCACTCTTAGTAATCATCTACCAAGACTCTATCACACTGGGCACACTTTCGGACATGTCAAACCACGATACCTCCGTTTCTCGCCACCAACCTGGCAGACCCTGACCTTATCCCGTGTGAGATGTGAGATTCCAAGGTTCTCATCCGGACCCTGACGTCTGCCATGCCCCGCATCGCAATCCTCCCTGGACGATAATCAGAATTCTGCCGTCAAGAACCTTGGTGATAAGACGTCATGAGTAACAAGGCAAGCACCCTGAATGCCATCAAAATACTTGACCAGGGCCCCGGCACAGCTGACAATGATGTCGTCCTGGTTTTATCCTGGGGCCGAGGGCATGTATGTCAGACAGTGGCTTTGTGGCTCAGTATTGCACTTTGGCCTTGAAGAAGGAAGTGGCATGACAGTTTGCGCGACTGCGAAATGCACTAGCAGCGCGCGATGCAAGTCTCACTTTGATATCGCGAGAGGGTGTATCAAACCCACAATTGTCTTCGCTGGGCGAGATTGAGGGTGCAGTGCGCGCCAGGCAGACATCAGGGTCCAGTCGCATACCAACAAAATCTTGGTAACGAGGGTGTTCACGCATCCGTATCAGGCGCCGGCGATCAATATATTCCTGGCCACATGATGGGAAACTTGGCTAGCGATAAGACAAGGTGTTGCTGGTGCCCTGAGATGTGATTGGTCATGTCTAGGCCGTAACAAAGGGAAGAGCCTTGAGGGAGCAGCCGAGGTGTGTGTCGTGTGGGAGTCATTGATGGATCAAGACTGTCTTGTGTGTGACTGTTTCAGTGTAATGTGGCTCGGTGGTCTCTATGTCTGGAGCTAGCACTTGCGCTATCGGCAGAGCATCTGCCAGCCGTTAGTTCCGAGTACGAGGAAGCTATGGAAGTAATACTAGTATTATTTTCAGGTAATGGGGCAAAGACACTTCATGATGGCAAAGTGGTGTTAGGTGATTATGAATTATTTCCATTATTAGCTATCTAGCCAGATCCCTTAGTCTCGGGCCAGCAACGTCATTCCAAGTATCCTCCGCATCATCAGGGTCTATTACCCTGGCGTGCATCATCCATTCCCCCCTCAACACCGCAAAGGTGGAGGCATGCAACTGTTTGATCCTCTCAAGGTATCATTCCACCGTTATCCTGCACTACCCAAGAGCATGTATAAGCAACGCAGAAGCAAAGCGTGCGATAAAGCATGTATGAATGTGTGTTTGGTGGTGGTGGCGCGCACCGGCGCGGAGCTTTTGCAGCGTCCGCCCGCGGATGTCGTGGTGGGATCGGAGTGTTCGACCGCGCGGCCGCTAGGCCTCGTAGCCGTAGATGGTAGTGTGGGTATCGTATTATTCAATAGATCGTATTTCGTAAGGCGCAAAGAAAGTCTTCAAGTCATCATTCATCGGTAGTAGCCAGACGACCGGTGCTCGCGAAGGTCCCGTGTCGATGGCTCGCGGACCTCGACAGCGTAGTGCTTTGCAGCTCGGCACTGCTTAGCCAGGTCCTCCTCGTAGAGGGAGCCGCGCTTGGAGCTGGGAGTGTTGCTAATCTCGGCAAGTGGTCGCTTTGGTCGGCTGGTGCTGTGCTGTGGCCAGTCGACGATCTCACCGTTGCGTGATCGTGATGATGACTTTGTCTTGGTCTTTGATTCTTGGTCAACCTTGACGGAGTGGCTTCGTCGGGGAGAGGCGGGTGCTGTGCGGGGAGCAACGTAGTAGCTGCGGTCCATGGAGACAAATGGCTTGCGGGATCGGTGACGGATGCTGCGCTCAATGGCCTTGAGGAGGCTGCAGACTTCAACGTAACCGGCTGGGATCTCTACACGGACGAGCTTGTTGTCTTCCTCGACAGTTGAGTAGGTGGCTCCGTCCGACTTTTGGTAGATGTAGCGGGCCACTTGTTGGGCTAGGCCGTGACCGACCTCGCAGAGTTGCTCGTGGTTGCGGTGGACTTCGTAGGGGTTGTGGCAGTAAGCACACTTCCTGGCGTGCATCTCGAAGTGGTAGGCGGCCCAGCTCTCAGCAGTGTTGACAGGACGGGAGAAAGAGTCGACGGGGTCCTCGTAGAAGCCGACCACACGCTCCTTCTTGGCCGTGGAAGGCCGTGAGTGAACGATGGTCGGTTGGTTTGTGCGTGCGGAAGGCATCTTGGGAGATGATGTGGGTGAGTTCTTCAGAATAGACTTTGGGGAAGCCGTTGTGACGTTGTTCCCAAGGTACGGAATGGTGTTGGTGAAGTCACTCCCAGTGTGGGAGGGTAACTTTGGTGTGGTAGTGTTGTTGGTGTTCTGTTTTTGCTGACGGTGGTAGATGGTAGACTGTTGGTCGTGTGAACAGCAGGTCGTAGTCGTTTCGAGTGAGTTGGTTTAGATAGAGGGTCTATGGTGGGCGCGGATGGCATGGAATATATGTCTCGATCCTCTACAGCGGCCGCATGCCCAGGGTGTGGGTGGAAGCCTGAGCTAGGCATGGGTTGCCTGTGACCATCAGCAGGGGCTAGGTTAGCACCTCTTAGCCTCCAGGACTAGGGGGCCATGGCCTGCTAGCGAGGGCGGTGACTGCAATTGTTCCTCTCGATCCGTGCATGACGACGATGTCTTGGGAACCGCCGCTAGAGGCATGTTTCGTCAGTCAGAGGGCCGTCAACGGCCGCTGGTCGACGGCGCTGTCATTGGCGATGATGAGCTGTCGCTTCGCCAGAGAATGGGCCCAGGAGTGCCAGCAACCGCCGCATCGACTCGTGCCGCGCGTGTCAACGTGTCCAGTCGGGCAGAGAACACCTATGCTGTCTCTCCAACGACATTGCTCGCTCGCTGTGGATGCGGTCTGATTATTCGATGCTGAGCCTCATGTCGCTGTCCGCGTTCGCATTACGGTGTTGAGGGGTGGGCGGGTGCCGTCGCTGCCTGTTTTCTCGAGGCATCAGCCACGGCAGCCACACCCAATGCGGGCAAGACTTGTTTCCTCCCCACCATCGCTCTGCTCATTTGCGCAGCACTCGCACAATCTCACCGCTACACAAGTTCGCGCATAGCCACAACCTTCCGCAGCCAATCCGTCAACTAATGCATGCCATAGAGTGGCTGTTGATGGCTGTTGAAGCCCATGTGCAAGTTTGCGTGTCGCTGCGAAATTGCACTGTGCGCCGCTGCCATGGTTCAGACCGGCGGCTGCAACTCACGACGAGACCCGCAACACCTCATCTAGGGCTGTGCTAAAGGGCATAGCTTCGTCTGCGCCCTTGAACGCACACCAGTCGAGGGCGCCGAATGTGCAAAATGTTTGCGTGTCGCTCAAAGACTCATCAGACACCCTGCTACTCGACGCTTGCCGAGCAACGTGCATGGCGCTATTCACCCATCGCTCGACTCGCCTGTCTCTTTCTGTCTGACCGGAGTTTGGCCCCTCGTCATTCGTCAATTGGGCTCTCTGGTGACTCTTTTTCACCATCGGCGCATTGGCACAGCAGTTCGCCCACTTTACCAACATGAACAGGCCCTATGTACCAATGTTTTCTCCAGTATACAGCAAAGTGTTTCATCACGAGAAACACGTTGACAAGCACCCGAATAGTACGTTTCAGGTCCAGCTGTCACTCGATTCTGCCCACCGTGAGTCAATTGTGCCCAATTTGGGACATTCGTGGTGTTTCTTTTTGGCGCTGTCTTATGACTCCCACTTTGACACGACGGTCGGCACTCCCCGTATGTCGGAGCCAGGGCTTCAAAGTGCCATTCGCGCTCGTACGGGCTCCAGGCACGGCTGAGTGGCACATGATCAAGTTGGTATCCTTGGCGGGAGTTTTTATGGGCTTCTAGCGTGATGCTGCTCATCATGACAGCCGCAAACACGGGTTCGGCACTGCACCGCCACAAACTCCCACTAGTTGCACGATAGAAAATTCCATCGTCATTCTGCCCCTCTCACGCACCCGTGCCCCCGTACTGAGACCCTCTTCCAAGTCTTGGATGCATGAAGATTGATGCACAAAGATCCGTTATCCAGAGTGAAGCTACGCTGTGGCGTCGTGGACAGGGTCTACTGCAGCCTAGTAATCTACGGCATCTTGGTTTATGGTAGTCGTGCTTCGGAGTGTACAACGTTCCGTTGCTCCTCGCGAGCTGTCTCAGTTGCCTTACAGGAACCAATCTTCGACGCACATGGTGCCGATAGACCCTTTGGCAACGTAATCTCCATGGCCTGTTCATGATATCATTCGTTCCTCATGGTCTGCTGATTTGACATCAGGTCTACCGCGATCCGGATCGGACCATTGACCTATCACCTTTGACAATGTCTAGGCAGCAAGTCCCCGCTCTGGCTGAGAACGACGCATCGAGCGATGGATATCGGCGGGGCAGATTAGAACAATCTGGCACCTCAAGCTTGGGTCGATTGGTGCTCGTGTTGCTTACCCAATCTTCTTGGAGAAGAACTCTAGCATGTGACCTCTTCACGTTCTAAGTATTGCTATACCAATAAAATTAGCAATATACGCTACCACCTGCAAGACTGTTGACCATATCCGGTGCGGTTCAGCCAGTGCCGTTTACATTCGACCGTCTAGCCACTTCTATACTGACAGTGCGTCAGGGTCCAGACAAGTTTGTGGGGTCATGCGGAGCGAGTCGGTCACGTGCAAACCCTTTCATCCTCCGAAAACAACTGACATCCGCCTCTTCAGCATTGCGCTTACTAAAGTCGCCGGAGACGAACGACAGCAGCAATCCGCGTTGCCTTCTTTCTTGGTTTGCATATTGAGTCCGGACTGAAGCTGATCTGTTGCCGTAGTAAGCGATAAAGCTGACCGAGTTGACCGGTTGCTGGACCCTTCATCAGCACAAACCTGTTCTTAACAAGATCGAACACCGCCAGGGGACAATCCTGTGTCAGCTCGGGCTATGCACCATCTGTCTGTTGCGCTTGCCTTTGGAAAAACGAAGTAGTGGCAAATGCATGTTTCGAAGTTCTCCACCTCCAGTGCGCCCAACGACGCCCCTACACTTGGCGATATATGATCGCACTCGTGAAGCGGCGATAGTAGATGAGCAGCGAAGAAGCGGTACACGATCAGCTCACTGCTGACCTGTACATGCGAAGTCTCCACGAGGACCGTCAGCCGCTGACTACCCCACAATCTGGCGGTCTCGCCGTTTCCGTTTATCGGGAGGTGCATTGTGCTGCTTGCTTTTCAAACTCAATCGCGCTCCAGACGATCGGAGATTTGTTTTGCAGATCCTCCGACCATCACGAGAAATCGCACAACTTGAACTATGGGCAACGCCCGAAAGCTCTCATGTACCCCAACAACCACATAATGCATAGAAGATGCAAGAGAAGGTCGACTTCTCTAAGATGATACGGTGAATAGATACCCAAGGCTGAGACACATGACCGCGCGTTTCAGCGGAACGGTAAGCCTTAGCCTGTTCCTGGGCTAGTTTGCGATCTGTGCTTCCACACCTCACACCGCTTTTCAGCGAAACTTTCAGCGAAGCGACAGATTTTGCTTGAAATACCTGCAGTCCCTTCAATTCTCTTAATTCTTTCTTTTCTAAAGACTCTGCCTTGACCGGTTACAGAAAGGAAACGACGTCGCGAAACAGAAAGAGAAGAGGAAATGCCACCCCGAAGCGTGTGTTTGAATGTGTTTACGTCCAGTCTTGGCGATGGCAATGGAGCGGTGAACAATGGTCGACATTCCATAATGGACAGGAGAGACAGCGCGCAGAGTGGTATGTTCGGATTCTTCGAAGTTACAATTGTACAACTCGAAATCGGTATTGCGATGCATTCTAACATGGCGATTAGACATTCCGAGACGGTCCTCTGACGGCTCTGTCGCATCGCAAGCCACGCCGCCAGCATCCACATCCCCGCTCCCGGCTTTCAATCGCCCCGAACTATTCCACTCTCTTCGTCCCATGGCTAGCACCGAAAGTTTGAACGGTTCTTTCACCAGCAAGCGTAAGTTTGAACTCCTATCTTCAGTTTCCATGTGGCGCGATGCAGGAACCGGACGTGATTCGCTACGCTGCATTAGCGCGCATGCGCCTCTCCACTTTATCCCACAATTATCGCGGCCGCTTTCATGGCCTGGCACTTTAGCACCACTACACTCATTTCAAACATCATGATGGCGACGTCTTACTAACATGCAACAGCTTGCACAACATGCTCTGGTGAACCCGCACGCCGCCGCTGCTCTCGCTGCAAGGCCGCTTACTACTGCGACCGCAACTGCCAAAAGTCGGACTGGAAGACCCACCGCAACGTCTGCGAACCCATCACGCAGACCTACTCCGCACCTGCTACACCCAACTTCTCCAACCCTGCCAGCCCAACCAATGAGTCTTGAAGATGCGACGCTGGACGTGTAGGCTATCGCATAGCTACACCGCCGCACTTGTAATCAGCAATGAAGTGGAGAACTAGACGGGGCGCCGAGGACGAATTGACGGAAGTGATATCAAGAGCAGGACTTGCTACGAACTAATGATACGGAATCAACTGGACATAGGGGAAAACTCGGGCGTTTGTGCTTTATTGGGCGTATGGGGTTTACCATTAGAAAGAGCAAAGCATTCAATTGCACTGCATAGCGAAACTAGCGAAATCATACTCATTATCAGCTTTTGTTTGGAGAAAGGACTTTCTACGCGTCTTTGCGAAACGTGAGGTTGTTGGAAAGTAATACGCGATGCTAGTTTCGGCAAGCGCGTTTGTGGACGGACTCACATATGTGGAGATACCTCCTTTAGGAATTGGCGCTTAGATCATAACAATGTAGTTCTGTGATATTGCCGCCGAAATGCGTCGCTGTTACTGACTCATTACCATACATATACGCTCACCGCTCCTGTCTTCAAAGCTTCCAACCCAGACCTACGTGTCATATTCCTTCGCGCGCTGTCCGCTGGGAGCCCTTGCACCTAGGTACGGTAGTTGTACGTGTGCCTCTCAAGTTGCCATGTCGGCGCACAATGTATCAAACTTACACTTGCCTTCGCTGGAAGCATGGTCTGCGCCTTTCGTTGAGAGCACGTGAGTTTTTCCGCTATATGATCGTGATCTCCCCATCGACAGAGTCTTTGACCTCATCCTTGGGAAGTTTTTCGAAGAAACCAATTCTTCGCACTGTATTTAG